CTTGAAGTCTCAGGGATTGTTTGGGTTCTTGTTCGAGTATTATAGAGTAGATGTTTCAAATACTGTCACTTCAAACTCATCGCGTAACCTCAGTTAATTATTTTAGAAGATGTTTAACCGAAACATCATACCAATTTGCAGCACAATACATAACTGTTTTATTAGAGCTAATTAAACGAAACTAATCTTTCGATGGAAATTTTTCTTAAATAAAAAATAATCGATATAAAAAAGGATGAAAGAAACAAAAATTGTCGTAGGAGATTATTAAAAACGAAGAAACGTAGCTCTGAAATAAATCGTAATTCATTAGGTTAATTCTCGACAAATATATGTTTACAGTCTCAATAATCGTAAATTAAAAAATTTGGAACCTGTCATTTTTACGTGTCGCATAAACCTAGACTTAACTTCCGTACTGTTTTAGATCGCAACAATTAATTTGTACCATAAACTAAAAAAATCCCCAGTCTAATTACCTTCGAACATTTTGAAAAAAAAATATATATATATATAACACGAATACCATGAGAAATAATTGTCACGTGTCCTGGGTAAGCTGTTGCGTGTTTCGTACTGCCCACATCGACCTGACACTTGTTTATCGTTTTTCTATACTCTCTTTACACCGTCCACAATGTCTTCGTACATGGGCGACAGTCTACCACGCCTTATACCTCGGGCAATTTTAGCTCTTATGGTCAATGCCCCGACTATTTTTATTGGACTCCACAATTGGTTTCACAATTTCAGAACATCTGACGCAATGAATAAGTAATGGTACAAACACCACACGAAATAAACCAGCTGTTTATAGCATTCCGTGCTATCTCGCTTCCAGTTATTGACTCCGGCATAACAGTAAACTATAAATGGTTTATTCTTCGTATGCAAATTTGCTAATCGGTTGATCGTTTATGCTGTAATTTTAGAATCGTTTCTATAGTTTCGTGTATTCGAAAAATCCTTTACTGTAGAAACATTCGTAATATAATAATTGCTGGAATGCGGATTTTTATGCAAAACAAATATCTTGTCGATTGTAAAAAACTGAAGTTGAAGACGTGTTTTCTTCTTTAGATAATGTATCTTATTTACTTTAGTAATATAAATAAATCCTTCGAATATCTTCACGATTTAGTTTTCCACTTTTTTTGGTCAAAAATGCATGAAGTCCACAGTCTAATAATTACCGTAGTTTCAATTTTGTACAAAATCTGATGACGGCAATATTGCATTAAATTAGGTTGTTAATTTAATACAATTGTTAAAACAGAATTCTTACAATTTAAACTTATCATGCAGTTAAATTTGTATCTGTATCGAACTCGTGTCATTGTTATTTATATAACTAGCGGCCCTCTTACAACTGTGCAATTTTTATGACGACTAACCTAAATCAATAGAGAGGAACACTTCAAACCACGTATACATACACGCACACATTCTGGATGCATTGAATATCATTACATTCAGTTCCCGAGGAAAATATGTAGACGCCTTTTCAAACGAAATAACTTTTTTAAAATTGTATCGAGTAACTTCAATTGTTTTAGATATTAGGCAGACTAATTCAGTGAACAAATAAAATTTTGCAAACATTGCCTTGATTGAAATGATACAAAATGATGAACTCGAATAAAAAAGTTGAAAAAACACCCTTTCTTAATTTTGCAATACCAAACAATTGCAATTTTTCAAGAAATTTTTTTACTCATTATCTAAAAGACTAACATCACAAAAAATTCATGTTATTTAGTCCATTTCTTAAAGAGTTATAACATTTTTAAAGGTATCAACATACAGTGGCGTGTATAATTACAAACACACAAAGCAACTTTTAGATCGTTACTGATATCTAAATGAAAACTTAACAAAATATCATATTTGTATATTTCTATTTTCTATTATTCGTCATATAGAAATGTATTACACAATAAATTCTCTCCAATTATCCCTCAGTTGGTACAGAAAAATGGACAATTTGGGAGGAGAAGATACGATTATTCGAGCCTCGCAGCTCATTTTTACAGTCGTCAATTGTCAACAACTATAAAACTGAGGCGTGAAACTCGAATAATCGCATTTCCTCTTTCCAAATTGTCCATTTCTGTTTACAAGCTGAGGGACAATTGGATAATTATAAACTCAAACCTTGGCGTAATAAGAAAAGAAGTAATATTTGTGTATTTTTTGTATTTTCTATTATTTAGCATATAGATGTATACAAATACGATTTTCTGTTAAGTTTTTGTTTAAATATCACTAAAAATGTAAAGATTACTTCGAATTCACACCACTGTGCTACCCTCAGCGACTTTATATCATTCTCTTAACACCATCTCATTATCGAATCGAAAAAATCGGAAGGATGATGCAACCTACTTCTGCGATAAAAGCGACTGCATAATGTATAAGCGGCCGCCGCCAATAATTAACTGATCTGAATAATGTCCTCGCGAGGAATGTTTCTGGAAATCGAATGATAAAAATAGTGCGGAGCGGCGGGAGATCGGTCCTCATGAAAATTCAGAAGACGGCTGTGTAAAACTAATCAAACAAACTTCTCGCGGATCGGCCCGCCGGTATTCCCGAACGCAGCACGTTGTCTTTCGCGGGGTTCGCGGCTCCGGCGAATTCGCGAATAAATTCGCCGGTCGGCTAATGGCGGCGTTAACCATCCCGGAATTGTTGCATATTCCGGATTGCGCATTCGATAGCCAACGAATTTGCGATTAAACCGAACGGGGACAAATAGACTTAACGCGTCCGCTCCCCCGGGTGGCGTATCGTATCGGGGCCAACGTTAGACAGGATGGAATCGTATGTGAATAATTCCAATTTGAACGGGTCAACCGTACATTTAAATATTGGATATTCAAATCAGCCGCGGGAGAACCCGCGGCGATGGACCCTACCGGCGCTCCCGGCTTTTTCGCTTCCACGTGGAACAAGGCACCATGCAAAAATTAGAAATCCAAGTGTCTGCCGGAAAACTGTAGAATTCATGACTTATGTTTCACGTCGCTCGCGCCCTTTTCATTCGGGAATTCTCGTTTCCTAATTAAAGCTGAAGCGCGCGCGGGCGCGCTCCCGGCGCATACATATTAATGCGGCTGAACACGTGTGACACGGTAAACTAAAAAAAAATAGCGACAGGTGTAACGAAAACGAGGGAAAGATACGTTTCCGACGGGACACGGTGACGGTGAGATTAAACGAGGAAAAAGCATCGAGACTCGAGAAAGGAGTGCTTCGCGAAGAATCTGTATTTGTTTAAACTACCATGCCAGTTTTTGGTAAAGTTGTTTCGCGAAGAACGTCGGCGACTCCTAGAAATCTGGTTTCTTTTCGCGAGTTTCGCAAGTATGTTGGGTCTCCAAGTAGAACTGTCCTGAATACTTTTTAACGCAGAGTAGAAGCGGACAGGAATAGTGCCACGTTTTTCCGTTACTTCTGTATTATTTAGAAAGTTTTCTTTATTTTGCGTTACGGAGTTGGGACGTCCGACAAATTCGAGTGACGTAATCGATCGTTAGAAAGTTGTTTCGAACAATGCAGAGAAATATTACACACCGAACTGTATTTTCTCGTGTTACGAGAAGAATATTTTGTTCAAACGGTATCGTATGTTTTCTTTAACATGATCGGAAACAACGAAGACGTGGAATTTATTAACGTCATAGCATGTTCCATCTAAAGTATTTATTGCAGTAACGCAATTCACAATGCACTTTATCTTGAAACTATCAAAAACAGCAAAAATCTCGTTGAAACGAAAGTAAAGAACGTAACAAATTTTAGATGACACTCACTTGTAGCATACGTGAATTACATTGGAACGAATGTTCCAAGAAACAAACGCTTTCACGAGAAACTCGTTTTTCCATTTTCCATAATTCTCAGCCCTTCGAATCTCGAGATGACGAATGCCTGCCAGATTCTCGATCTTCCGAATTAACCTGTAAAAGCAAAGTGAAACCGGATTTGTAATTCGCGGATCCAGAACAAGCAGGGATAAAGTTGAAATAAGGTACGATGTAGAAACTAAGTTTTCCAACTTTTTTAATACAGTTTTTTAACGCGACCCGATCCCGTGAATTCAATTGTTCAGCTTGTCATTGAACTTTTTAACGAAGGAACTAGCTCTCGGGACGGCTTCTGAGATTCAATGTGTCTGGGAATGAAATTATTTATATGTCGGGTTGGGGTGAAATTAGGAGACCGGTTCGATATTGCAGTTTCAGAGATGAACATCGTCGCGACAAGGGCTTATTATCACAGCCGAGTGGACACGATTAGGGAATTCATTACGAGACGAGGAGGTGTGAAAAATAAATACAAAGCACGTGAACGAGTGCGAAATGTAAATGTTTAAAGAGCTTATCCGGCGAAACGTGAATTATTATGTGTCGTCATCGTGTCGTTGAAAATGGATCAATACGTCGCAAACTCCTCGCGGATCTTGGGTCAGCACGCACAGTTGTTGAACCAGGAATCTTACTGTGTCGCAACTTATGAATTTACGAACAGCTGCCTCGACGAAATGAATAATGGCGTCATTATTACCCGCGTTACTCGTTATCGATGCTTTTTTTACACTTTCTCCGTTGCTTTCCTTCAGCGGAGCGTTAATAACCTGACGAGTAAGACATTAGGCCTTACTGCGAGTTAGCCACTGTATTTCCTTAATAATTGAGGCAATATTGCTTTCTTATCGGATCAAAATACCTCGTCCATCATTAGCTCGCTGCATATTATTACCAATGGAGGTCATTAAAACAGACGTGATTACGGTACAATCGTTTAAGCAGTGCACGATTATCGTGTTCCATGATCTGCAAAAGTTTCAAAATCCAAGTTTGAGTTTCGTTCCTACGCGAAAATGTCGCAAGATATGTTCGCATCAAAATTTGCGGTTAATTCTCCGAAGTTTCAATGACTTAAAATTTAGATATGCAATTCTTGTTGCACAGCCTAAATTATTTTACATTTTCCAGGTAAGGAAGTCACATGTACTTTTCGATGCAAAGATCAAGGATCGATCATCTATGAGTAAGTAAACAAAACCGTAGTTGCACGATATTGATTTCTAGACTGTGGATTTCACGCGTTTATGACAAAAATCGATAGATGAAATTTAAAAGAATTTTGGATCATCTATATAGTATTTTCAACTCCATGTATTATTTCTAAGGGACAAGATTTCACCTTCGCTGCGATTGACGAAGATCATTTCGATTCATCGTAAAAATCCGCAGTCTATTGATTTCTATCGATCACCGGAACATGACATTTTGGATTATACTTCTACTAAATTTCTCGTGTCCGACTTCATGGAAATATCGCATATTTTTGCAGAAAAATGAACCATTTTAATGGCGGAACAACGAAATTCCGAGATGTGGGACAGTAAATAGAAGTTTTGTTACAAGTAGTAACAGCATCAACTTATGAGATATCGTCTATTGAGTCTTCACAATTACTCCACACGTCTCCCCGTGCTTGCGTACACACAGACAGATCTAACGAAATGCCCGAAACCAATGAAACTCTGAAACGTACCGGTCGACAAGCTGAAAAACATCCCTGAGGGAGTGGTCAGACATCAAATAGACTGCGGGGATGAGAACGTTTAGCTCCGGGTCATTTCATTAAAACCGTTTCACATTCTTTCTTTCAATTCCAAAGGCTCCTTTCTATCTTGCCTATCTGTTCGAAGTCTTGAACACCGCCGTGGCAAAAATCATATTCCAGGCATTAAAAATTTTTCGAACCTTCAACGGTATTGCACGTACGAATGATTATACCGCGGTAAGTAGCTCGAGCTATTGGTCCGCCTCGAGTGAAGATAAAAGAATCGCGATATGCAAAATTTGCATGGTTTAATGAGCTCCATCCAGCTATGACACGATTTTTCTAACAACCGCATCTGGGCGCAGGCAAAAATGGAAATTCACCTCGCCTGGAGATGGAAACGTTCGTTCTGCATCGTGTAAGAAATTTTCGGTGGAAATGTTGCCAGAAGCGTTTAAAAAGCATTATTTCTAGGAAGCTCGTACTAAAAAGCATTCGTATTTTTCGTCCGTTTTTGTTTCAAACTTTGGTTTCACTTTTGGTTTCACATCATAATGCTGTATTTTAGAGAAATTGTACAATACAATTCTAAAGATATCATGAATTTTTATAAAAAGTATTACATACTAGATGTTTTTCAAAAATGTGTGTTCATCAGGAATGTCGATTTCGTTTGACACCTTAGTTTGACCGATTCTATTGGGTTGGCAACTAAGTAATTGCCGATTTGTTCAATGAAATAAAATATTTTTTTTACTTGGAATGAAGTTTAATCTGTAATGTATTTTCCATTTTGTTCGATGACCTTTTGCCATCTCACTGACAACTTGAAAATTCCACGCTCGTAGAAAGTCTGATTCTTTTCGGCCAGAAACTAAGTTAAGTGAGATTTTACAGCGTCATCATCATTAAAAGTTTTATCACGAAGGGAGTTGTCCAGGGATCGAAATAAGTGGTAATCCGATGGCGCGAGATCAGGGCTATATGGTGGGTGTAACATCAACTCCCAACCAATATCCATCAATTTTTGCCGAGTGGACAAAGACGTGTGCGTCCTAGCATTGTTCTGGTGGAAAATGACACCTTTACGATTGACCAACTCTGGTCGCTTTTCCTTGACCGCTGCATTCAATTTGTCCAGTTGCTAACATTCACAGTTAATAAAAAAATAACATAATAATAATAATAATAATAATTTTATAATATAACACTTACGGATATCATAAAAATGGGAG